CTTGTAAACAAAAAGGATTTATCGATATAATATTTTCAAACTGTTGAGAAAATATTTATTAAACATTTTTGCACTAGACTTACTAAAAATCGTTAAATAATTCAAAACTAACAGTCTCATATCAAAAATATATATTTTTGAGTTTAAATAAAAAATATAAAAAGAGAGTTTCAAGATAAAAATTGATAAAAAATACATATTTAAAACAAAATATCGTATATATTTTGTACACATTTGTACAAATAATTTCGTATATATTTGTATATAATGAAATTCCTAATGTTAGTCAATAACAAAACACTACGAAGTCTCATACTCTACTTTGTTATTTAAAATAACATTCTTGATACATTTAATTTTGTTATAAGAATAAGAAATTTTATTAACAATTTAAAAAAAATCTGAGTAATTTTATAAAATTTTTTTCCCATAAAAGAAAATGTTTTTGTACATTGTAAAAAAATTTTCAAACTGTTGAAAAAATATTTATAAGCATTTTTGACACTAGATTTACTGATATCTATAGACAATTCAAAATTATCATTCTCATATTGAGAATCTATATTTTTGAAATAAAATGGAAAATAAATTTAGTTTAAAAAAATTTTTTTTTCAAGATAATAAATAAAAAAATACAAACTTTTTTTTTTAAATAATGCAATTTTTTTAAGAAAAATAAAGCAATTTTTTATTTGTTTTATTTTTTTAAAACCATAACTTGACCATAAAACCAAAACCATGACTTACTCGGTGGGCATTATGTCCTAGTAGCCTGTTGCACCGAGGCTCACGCGCTATGAGAAAGATCCGGCAGTGAATCACATTTTCCGGAAAATAACGCATGCGCTCTTTTCCTGATCCAGAAATGTTCCGCGGATGATAGAAGGAAAAGAGTCCGCTTTCTGTCAGTCTCTCCCCAATTGTTTATATTCGCCAGTTAGAGAAGAGATGAAGGCGATGAAAGAATTGTTAGAACAAGTATGTCTGGCGATATTTTCAAAAACAACGCCATAAAGAAGGACGTGATGTTTTTAAGAAGAGGAGCATGATTGAACACGTTTTATCGATGAAATGTGGAGAAAATATTTTTAGCTTTCTCAAAAAGAATAGATTCCAATATTTTTCTTTCTCAAGCTCGAAGTCAATAAAGAATTTTTCTTTTAAAAATGATAAATTAATGGTCCTCTTCTTCAAAAAAGAAAATAAGAACTAATTCTTTTGCAAAAGCTTTAATGTTATATAGTTTTCAGTTGAACATTAATTTAAAAAAATTCTCTTAGTATAGATTCGATTATTTTTTCTTGAAACGAATAAATATTTTTCTTCATATACTTCTTGTATCTTAAAAAAAAAGTTTTTTTTGTATTTGAATACCAAAGTCAATGGCAAAGATAAATTAATATGCATTCTATAAGTTTTATGTAGGATTCGAGTGCTTCTGTATAGAATTAAATATTTTTTACCGATATTTATTTTTGACGAAAAACAAGTAAAGTTATTTTACTCAAGCAAATTTTCATAAAAATGATGAAATAAGACGCAGCAGGTTTGGTACAAAATTTTAAAAAAAAGCATTCTAAGGATTTATTTCCAGTAAGTTTCGTTTTCCTATTTACTAATTGATTAATTTGTAACTAAGTTAGCTGAAAGTAGGATCTTCTGTCTGGGATAGGAGCCAAGATTTCTCAGTGGTTAAGGCACTGGACTGTCATTGTGAGAAACTGGGGTTCGATTACCAGCGGTGGATTGAAGCCTACTCAGCTTTAGGTCGGTAAGTACCAGCTTGCATGGGAAGTAAAGATGGCTTGTGGGCAGTGCTGTCCACACTTCTAAAATCTTGCAGTTGGTCATGAAATTGCGGAGTCTTAACTTCTATGATCCTCCTAGTCCACAATGGATTGTTGCGGAAATGCTTTACCTTTTTTGCTTTAAGTCTAGGATAGAAGGACTTAATTTTCTCAAATCCAAATAAAGTAGCAAGAATAGAGATACAAGAAATGTTTATGCTTGCTTTAAGTTCTCAAATGTATATTCAACGTTTTTTGAGCAAAAAATAATCAAATAATTAGAACAAAATATGATAAAAAATAGTTCGAAATTAAACTAACAAATAGCCATCTCTCCTTGATGTGGAGGTGAAATGGTATACTTAATACAGTAAAGATAAAGTGAAGTTAAAATCAGAAATATAACACATTCCGTATACTGTTTAACCAAGAAAAACTTACTCTGAGCTCTAAAAAATTAATTTTATCTTGGAAAATAGGTAAAAAGATTCTAATGTACAGATTAAATCATTCACTTTCGAAAAATTTAACTGCATTTTTAGCAAAGTTTTTTAAAGTTTGTACATGTTTGAAGAAGCTCTTGCATGCACCTTACACATCTCATCCTGTCATCGTTTTTAGTTGGAGGTTTGTATTTTCTCCACAGCTAACACAGTGATTTTCAACGAATTTTGAGTGGATAGAATAGGAAAATATGCACGATTCTAATGAGTACGTTATAGAGTTCTATCGGATAATCTGTTAGGTATGTAAAATGCAAAGTTCCTACTGTCCTCAAAAATTAAAAAATTAATTTCAATATTGTAATAAAAAAGAGCTACGGGGTTTTATTTTTGTTAGCTACCGTCTAACATTGTTAAAATTCTAATAAATTTTAAAATAAAACCAAGAGAAAACCACCAACAAACTAGATGTAGTTATTTAGAGACTTAAGAGTGGTGATGAAGACCAATTTACTAAAATACATCTTATTATTTTACACTGCTACCTATTATAATTTTTTTAAGGACCCTTCGATATGTCAATCATCTTTCATCAGCATGACAGCCTAGTACAGGCCAGAGTCATCTCAATATCTCTATCTGGCTCAATCGGCCACTAGGTTTTTCCATTTATTGATTCACATGTCTTTTAAGATATTTTTAACAGAATCAAGTCCTCTTGTCCATATGCCAGTAAACTTTCCAAAAGTCAGCTTCTTAACTGAATTACCATCATCCCTTCTGTGGATGTGATCCTGCCATCATCTCATTCTATAGGAGCTTATAACTGAAATTATGTTTGATTGCTTAAGTTTTCCGTATAATTCCTAATTGTACTGAATCTGCCGAACACTGATTTCTTCAACAGCTCCGAAGATGGCACTGAGTATTTTTCTTTCCAATATTAATTGTTTATTTTCCTAGTTCTTACTTAAAGGCCAGCTTTCGCTAAAATAAAGTAATACAGGTTTAATTAGAGTATTATATAAATTAATTTTAGTTTTAAAGGAAATACGTTTTTACAGCTGGTTTCTTCAGTCAAAATAACACCTATTAGTCATCGTTATCCCGTTATTAATTTCTGTTTTGATATAATTATTAACTGTTACAGTTGATATTTGTTCAAAATTTTCTTGCCATTGTTAGAGTATTGAGTTAATCATGCCTCCTTCCCCATTTTACACATGGAGGTTCCGGCTACGGGATTTGGTCCGGAAAATAATATTTTTCATCGCTATTGAATATCGTCTTATGTTCTACACTGGGCGTGGTTAGGTGCACATTCTTGCTCCTTGGATTAGATTTTTTTCTAAAAATCAGGTAGGATATTTTATTTTTAAAGTGTATAAAGCAAAAAAGGAAGAACTTTTAAAACTTGCTATTAAACGGAATATTCAACCGTCGGAAAATATAACTGTGATAGAAATTATAACTTTGACAGAAAAGTCCGATGCATATAAAAATGATTCTAACTTTGTGCTGGAAATGTTATAATAAATCACTAATGAAAGCAAATTAGCAGCAGAGGAAAAATCAAAGCAAAAACAATTGGACTTCGAGAAATTAAACATTACCAGATCAACTCAAACATATACAAAATCAAAATTGTAAAAGAGGTGAGGGATATGATTAATTCAAAACTCAAATAATCACGCTAAAATTATGAACAAATAGCAACTGTAATTAAAAAAAGGAGTTTGATTACAATTTGCCCCCTCCTGCTCGAAGTACAGCCTGGAAATCAACTACTAGCATCTACATTGATCAAACCTGAAATATATGATTAAGTTTCAGTTCGTATTTTACTGCAGAGCTTCTAATATCGTCTTTATACTAAGCTGAGCGTAGCTAGCTACATATTCTTGTTCCTTAGATTTATTTCTACAAATCAAGTAGGACATTTTGTTTATAAAATGTGTAAAGCAAAAAAGGAAGAACTTTTAAAACTTGCTATTAAATTGAATATTTAACAGTCGGAAAATATAACTGTGATAGAAATTATAACTGTGATAGAAAAGTCCAATGCATGTAAAAATGATTCTAAGTTTGTGCTGGAAATGTTATAATAAATCACTAATGAAGGAAATTAGCAGCAGAGGAGGAATCAAAGCAAAAACAATTGGACTTCGAGAAATTAAACATTACCAGATCAACTCAAACATATACAAAGTCAAAATTGTAAAAGAGGTGGGGGATATGATTAAATCAGTTCACAAATACTCACACTAAAACTATGAACGTGTGCACTGAATACCTTACTATTTTGCGAAATTTTGATTACAGCTTGAACTTTTAATTCTTATTTTGCTTCTTTGTAATTTTTAATTTCATGTGTACTTTGCCCACTTACTTCTGTAAGCCTCATGTTATTCATTGTGGAGGATGAGGAGTTTTTTTTAATAAATCGTGATTTAAAAAAAAATAACAACTGTAATTAAAAAAAAAAGAGTTGGATTACAATTTGACCCCTCCTGCTGGAGGTGAAACCTGGAAATCAACTACTTGCATGTACATTGCTCAAAGCTGAAATATACTGTTAAGTTTAAGTTTGTATTTTACTGCAGAGCCTCGAATTAATTCGGGATAATGTAATTCATCACTGGATGATGTAATGGAACCTCTGGATAATGCAATCTCCAATCCGTATGACCAAATGACCAATACTATCACCAATTTCCCATATATAAATATATATATATATATATNCTCATCTTTCTTGGATAAGTTTTACTATTCTTATTTGACTTTTATCAGTTCTTGGAGCAGTTTTCCGTTTGCGTCCACATTTTCCTTTTCTTTTTGGAGAGGATAAGCCGGAATCTTGAAATGTTCTAAGAATTCTGGAAACACTAGATTTCCCTACACCCACTGCTGTAACGATGTCTCTTACAGTCATAGAAGTGTGTTCATTAAGAGCGATAATTTTAGAGCGCTTCCTCGGACTAATATCCATCTTTTATAAGCATATAACTTGTGTTAGACTAAACTCAAAATTATAACCACCAGTTTCCCACACTGAAATGCTCACAACTGAACTACAAATACACTAAAACCAGTCAGATGAGTAAATTATAGTGAAGGTATATCCGTCACCGCAGCTCAAGGCAGATATAACTGGTTTGAAGCAGTTCGGGACATCACTGGCAATCCCATACCAACTCGAATGAGAAAATCTTGCTTGTCCCAATTAATTCGAACACTATAGTATATATATATATTGTAAACTCACAAGGAAAGATATAAATGTATAAGCTATGGAATTAAATTTATAAACTCAAAACTATAGATAGAAAATTCAGATATGAAGTTGACTAAATCAATTCTGTATTTCTAATTCCTATATTAATATTAAAAATAAGAAATTAAATTTATCTATTATTTTAATTAAAAGTGACAGAAATTAAATAATTAAATATCAAGAGGACAATGAAAATAGGCTAATTTTGTGTTTTAAAAAATATTAAGGAAGCACGTTTTATTATCATTGAAAAGTATTTTGTGGTTTAATTGAATATCCCTTATGGATTCGAAAAAATCTCAAATTCATATTATTAGGCTGATGCTATTGGTTTCAATACGAAAATCATCTTTATTATGAGTAGAGTAATAAATAAGTAATCTTTTGGGAGAGATTCTGTATTAATTTTCATTAAATAACAATTTTGTAAACGGAATTGTTTATTGAAGCACTTTGTTGATTATTCGCAATTTTTTTTAATTTGGCAATTTATCTAAGTTAAAGGAGGATTTTTTTAAGTAAAAAATACCAATTTTCTGGAAATAGGTTATTAATACTCCCGTAATTCAAATGTTTAGACAAAAAAAAAATCTTTTCCCACTCTCCTAATCATTCAATAAATTATCCTACTATGTCTAGTTAAAATTCGAAATTGTCTTACATAATTATTTTATTCCCGGCACCCCTTTTTTCATTATTTTTATAAATAATCTAGAATTTTTGACTGTTTGGTTATAAGAGTATTTATTATTACAATAGCATAAATATATTTTTAATAATAAAAAAATTAAACCATTATAATATTAACAATAAAAATTGTCAATAATTTTGATAAATAACTTGCTTTTTCAATTATTTTGTCAATAATACTAACGCTTTGTCAATAGTTATAGTAAAATTAGCAAAATAATATGATTTTGTAACACTATGTGATCAATTTTGGTAAATGCGGTAAAATTTGGTAATTTCATCACGATCTTAATGCATGGCATAAGAACTTTTATGCTATTTACTTTTCTGTTTTGTATATGTTACTAAATGTAATAATAAGAACTATATTTTTGAACAATAGAATTTTCGGTAAACTTTTACGATATGAACGGAGAAATTACCAAATGAATGTTTTAAATACCAGATTTTATTACCAGACATTATGTTCTTTTTTTCAAGCAGAAATGTAATTACCGTTCACTACTATAATTTTACCAGATTTTTACCAGATTGTGTTAAGCAGGCTTCCCAAACTATCAAATTGTATTTTAACTTGTTTAAATACAATAATTAAATCAAAATTTACTTTAATTTATGATCTGTTTCTTTTTTATTACTTGCTCAATGTGCATTGTACAATTTTTGATGCCAAAAAAAAAACTTTGTTGTCTAAATTAACTTTAAACTCAATAATCGAAACCCATTAGAAATTTACTTCTTTCAAAATACTTTTATAACCTGAATATGTCTTTCTGTCCATTTTAAATGCAAAAAAATGTGATGAGACTGATTCTTATTCAGTATTAAATGACAATACATTTGTGTTTTTAACTTTGAAAAATTTCTTAGAAGTAGTATAAAACGAATTGTATCATGATTAAAATACTTATTCGAATTCTTGGAACTTTTCTTAAACGTACTTCGTTCGTACTTTGTCCTCTTTACCTAATGAAAGTAAAATGAAATGAGTAAATACTACTTTCCGCTTAACTAAGAACGCTAATTAGCATTTAAGACTAATTAAGAATCATGCTATCTGGGAATCGTGCATTACATAATGATCCCCAACAAAAAAAGATTTCATCTTTAAGGAGAACTAAATTCTATTTTCAGATAAAATATTAGTAAAGGTATATTTTCCTTTTAATTAAAAAATAATTATTTATCAACTATGATAATTATCGATTTCAAACTAAATTTTTGAAACGAAGAAAATAAGGCTTGAAATAGAAGTTTTATGACTCTATCTTTCAAATAAATAAATACATTTCTTAATATGCAATTTCTCTTGACTGACTCTTTAAAAAATACCCAGTTTCTTCATTAGATGACAAAATTTTTATGGATCCCTCATATCTAAAGCATTTCATACATTGACTAAATAATTCCAACAAACCAAAGCGGTAAGAAATTAAATGGTTAAAAATTGCATACAAAGAATACATGACTTTACCGTTTTCTTCTCCCATTTGTTATAAAATTGCTAATATCCTCTCTCGTTTTGATATTAAAGTCATTTTATGGTCTATTTATAAAATCAAATTTTTGTCTCTTAAAGATCTTATTAACTTTGATGATCACTAGGACATTTATCACATTGCTGGTCAGTGTGTTTTTGGCTACTTGGAACAATATAAACGAGTTTTAAAATTCAGATTTAAGGAACACAATAGATATGTACATTATCGAGATTACAAGAAATCATCAATTGCTGCTCATTGTTGGAATCTTTGACATCAACTCAATTTCAGAAATGCCAAAATTATTTTTACCTCAGTCAAATCAGCTCATCTTGATGCCCTGTAATCTTGTTCTATTCATATGAATGCTGATTTTCTTGTTAACGGCATTGCTCACTATCTTTCTGTTCTTGTTTTGTTTTTCATCTTTTTTTCTCTCTTAGCTACCGTGTTTTTTTAGTTTGTTTCTCCCTTTTATTCTCCTTTTATCGCTGGCAACTTTAAATTTTTTTATTTCAAATCATTTTTGTCACGTCTGGCAAATCTTAAAAATTGGCGCTTTTTAAGTGCTTGAAACATGTCGACTGTCATTTCCTGTTTATATACTTTTGAAGCGAATGAAGTTTTTAATCAGTTCATTTTTTACATTATTAAAATCTGTTTTTAGCTTAACGCCATAAATAAATTCAAAAGCAAAATGTTTCTTAAAAATAGTTTTTGCTTGTAATAGTGTTGCTCTTAAAAATAGTGTTGGATAAATAGAATTATATATAAGCTGCAAAGATGGAATAAAACAATTAATATATAAACCGTAATAATAAATATATAAATTGTAAATATGAAGCAAATATTTTGGAATTTATATAGTTATGTGCTCAAAACGTCATCAGTTGAGAGATATGGGTAAATAAATACAATTATACTTAGTTTGAAATGAATGTTATGATTTAATTTTCGAAGTTTTGAGAAATCCATTTCAAGAAAATTCCTAAAATAGAACTTTGCAGAAAGTTTTGACATTTGTAATGAGCTTATTTGCTATGCAGCTTACTAAGACAGAAATACTGAATCATTAAATTCTATTTCTGAGTAAATAGACTAATGGAGTCTCTCTTCGCGATTGAATCTCCTTTAATCTAGCGATCTGTGAATATATTTGATTTGACAATATGGTAATTTCGAAGACACCGCTAAGCTTAGATCATGTACATTACTGATAAGTAGCATTATGCGTTGTGTTATATTTCGTGTTCTGAGTTTTACTGAAAGAAAGCTTTAGTATTCGAAAGCTTTTTGCATTTTATGAATGAAAATGTAATTAATGTAATTAATGTAATTTTCATATCTTTTTTTTGCGATGTACTAATGGAGCCCTTATATCTGTATGTAAAATTTTTCGAATCATTAAAAAATTTCTCGAGATATGGCGAAATACGCCAAAAGTATCATTATTAGCATTAAGGGGTCCAAGCTTAGGACCGCTCTCCTGATCATGGAGACCATAATTCCCAGATGGCAATTATCTGCGATATTTTGAGAGTCAGAAATCCAAATCTGTCGAAAAACAGGTATGTTTATTCTGAGAAAGTGCATTTTTGTGCCTGAAATCGTAATTTGGAATATTGTCTGCACTAATTAATCATCATATTTGAGGTCATCCCGCTGAACTTATAAGATCGGGTCCTTGGGTAATTAGATTAAAAGTTATTAGGAACGTTTTTTATTTTGTGCACTTTACTTCATTTTAGTAAAACAATTATTTAAATAAAAGAATTTGTTGAAATGTACTTAGATACAATATTTAAATTTAAAAAACTATCTCTAGATATCTAAATGCCAAGGAATATTTAAAGAATAAGAAACAAATTTTTTTGGGTTTCTATTAATATCTCTAAATGGCCATGGTATTTTTATTAGCCTCTGTCTACTAAGGGGAAAAACTACTTTTCTCTCATCCAGTAACTAATGAAGTCATCATTGATTTACCACCAATTTTCCCACAAGCACGTAATGCGATATCACGAGAAAAAGCTGAGCATTCCGATTAAGCTGCTTATTTTCTCAGCAATCCGTTTTGGTCAATTCCTTTCAGCAATTAATCTCTTTTTTATAAAAAATAGTTATTGCTTTGATCTATAAAGTACTAAGCTTATTTTCATTTCTTATAAAATCTTCAGAAAAAAAACTTGTTATTTCCCAACCTTTTTTTTTAATTTTAAAAGAGCAGCTAGGAAGCTGATTATTAAATTTATTTTTGAAGGATTTGAACCTATGAATTATTAACCACATCTTTTTAGATATGTCCTTTTGACATATAACTGTTCCTTAGTATTGTTTCCTGATGAGTATTGTGCAAGCTTCAAAATGTTCTACTTGATAACACAGAAAAAAAAAGACTAATAGCAACCGACTTACCCCCGAAGGACTTTGCGGATAAGGGTTTCACCCGTTGTCACGTGAACTAAACTCTACAAAACTACAGAAAAGTAAAATCAAAACTAAAAAGATTGATACACAGAAAAATAAGTAATACACAGAAAAAAT